TGACTCACTTGAACTTTGGGATATTCATTCCCTGTGTGATTGCCTCACAAAGCACCTTTTCTGAGTGCAGCTTTTGCACTAAAGTAAGGCACACACAAACAACCTGTCTGCAGCTGTTACAACGTTTTGTCCCAGATTAAAGGCTCTTCGATTGCAAAAGTTGCTCTCAATCATCCCCTGTAGCTGCATCTGACATAAAACATATTTATTTCATAGTAAGGTCAAATATATTGCTTTTTTAATGTGTCACGATGGGATGAGTCCTTTGTCCTCATCGGAGACTAGTGGCATAATTCCCCTGCAATTAAACTGCATTTCAGTGTATTTTATTTTTAATTTCAGTGTAGTTATTTGACTGCAATAACTTAAAGCAGGTACACTGGAATAATGGGGTGAGAAGTCAGGTTTTTACAGAAAACAGAAATTATTTTATTTAATTTTAAGTAGTGCACAAGTAATTTTATAAAGTTCATGACTTATTTATTAGTATTACAGAATATCAGGTATTTTAAAGGAAAGGGGAGAAATTAAGTACATTTAAGTAGTGCATAAAAATCCAAAAGTCTTTTTTTTCCTTTTTTGCCTGTCCCGTTTGGCTCTTTTGCATCAGAATTATTGTCTAAAGGCAAAGAAAGATGCCCAACGGATTTACTTTACCAAATTGACCATCCCAGCCTTGCCATAATGGTCCATTTGATTCACCCTTTATTGTTTATTTTATTTTCACTTGCTGAATACGGGATACGTGTGTACACCTGTGAGCATGGACGCGCTTGTTTTTTGTTTTTTTAAAAGGTTCCTTCATGTAATGATCTGCTAGAGGGTGTGGGGGGGCCACAGCCCCGTCCTCCAGGGCATGAAGCAGGTATGGAGGAGATCAAAACTCCAGACATCCAGAGGCCCCCAGAACACAAGAGACCAAGGAAGACCAACAGAGGGGCAGCCGCGCCACTGTCCCAGAAAGAGCTGAGGAGAGTCCCAGATGAGGGCTCACTCAGCAGCCGCGGAGCAGAAGCCGGGGGGGTTGCAGTGACGCGCCCGTGAGCTCCGCCGGCAGCCAGCTGCGCCTGAGTGACCGAGCCCAGGCCGAGAGGCCGGGGCACCCCACCTCCGAAGTGGCCCGAGCGAGCCCCAGGCTCCAGGCCCGATAAGCGGCCGCCAAGGAGTGAGCCGGTGTGTACCTGGACGCCCATCCCCAGACACAAAGAACCACCAACGCACCGATGTCTGAGGGAGTCCGCCACTGGCAGGGGAAGTGGTGGTGGGGGGAGATAGGCCTCCAAACCTTGGAGGGCCTGAGATGTCCCCAGAGAGGTGGCGCCTGACACCCAACCTGACATATAGACACAGACATACAGGCACACACAGACACAAACATCCATTCCCACCCTCATGCTCTCATATGCACTTACTCCACACTCAACCAACGTGGAGACAGACATAAAGAGACGCTGTACACACGATCACACTCCCCAAGCGTACTCTACAAACCGGGTCTAGGTACCCTTGACCCTGGAGGGGGAACTGCACCCAGACCCAGGTGGTGTTACCCTTTTCCCTGCGGTGGGGAGAGGCAGACCGCCCCGACTCCGCAGCAGCAGGGAGGCCCCACACCCCAGACCGCAGTCGGACGGCCAACTCCTCCTCCTAGCCCCCCCGCTCCAGCAGGCCGCAGAGAATGGGGGTGAGAGAAGACTCCAAACCTCCCTCCACCCGCTCCTTGTAGTGTTGATGCATGTGTGTTTTAAGGTGCAATTAAAACCCAGGAGGGCATGGAGCTACCTGCCAGAGAGCAGCAGGTAAGCGCATAGTCCCTCCTGCTAGCCCTCAATGTCTACGTGTATTTAAAATTGAGAGGTGGGCAACGATGCCAGGGGTGAGGTGTACACCCTGATGGTAATTTGGACTCCGTGTATCGTGCCCACCCCCAAGATCCTATATGTATGTGTAATGAGAGCGTGAGTAATGTGAATGTCTAAGTTGTGGGATAAAATTGAGGCAGAGGCAGCCAGAAGGGACAGAGGGGGGGGGGGGGGGGGGTAGCCTCCTCTGCACCCTGGTGACATACCCCTACTCCAAGGCCCTGCATGTGTGGGTGGTTGTGGTGGAGCGGGAAGAGGGAGGCAGCTGGAGATGGGGAGGGAAGGAAGGGAGGGGCAAGTGACCCCTCCCTGGGGCCAGCTCCCCCGCTGACCCCAGTAGGCACCCCCATACTCCGCGACCCGCCAGGGAAAGGGGGCCCAGGCCCATCCAGACCGGGGCCCAGTGCGGCAGCGCCTCCCGGCCCCACAGAGCCCGGGACAGTCCACCCAACCCCACCACAGAGAAAACTGCACCCACCCCACCATCCACTCATCTTCCAGACTACATAAGACAATAGACGCCCAGGCTGAGATCTTCCTCCACCTCTCCTGTATCTCCCCCTCCTGCAGAGAGAGCCCCTGAAGACCGGAAAGCTCCTGCAAGATGAGTCATTTTAAGTATTCAATTTCATTGTAATTTTGCTGAATAAACAATATTTTCCCATCTTACCTCATAAATGGACTGGATTTTGGGTGTATGGACCATATTATGGAGTCACTTGACCTTGTCTTACATGATATTTATTGTTTTAGTGTGAATGATGGAGAGTCCACTGTGAAACTATTCTTTCATATTTATTTATATAAACATTATGTAGTAATTTAAACTGTTCTTCCTTTTCTACTTTTCAATATATTTATTCAAGCTTTCAATATATTTTCACAGCGTTGTCTCCTCTGAATAGGATAGAACACCAAAGCTTTCTCCTTCCAGAGCAACGTCCAGCAGACAACAAGTGCAGATAAAAGTTTTCAGTGGTCTTAAACAAACTTGTTTTTCTTTCCTGTGCCAATTTCAATACGATCCGCCCTCTTTTTTCTTTTCTTTTCTTTTTTTTTTTTTCTTTTTGGTTAAGTAAATATTACAGCTTCAAGCTTCCCATCCAAGAAGCTACTCTAAGCGAGCGGTGAGTAACGGGCAGAACAATTACATTCTTTTCCACTAGAGGGCAGTACAACTCCTTGCTCCAATTAAATGGGTTGCCAGAAGAAGACAAAGAAGAAATTACTACAAATGAGACCACGCAGCACGTGATCTGCTGGCCAGTTTATCGTGAGGACAAAAATGAATTTTTCTTTAACTTAGTTTGTCACAGAAGGACGTTTGTAATCCAGAGGGGAAAATTATTATGATTAATGTTCCCAATTACTTCATCTTAATAAATAAATACAACACAACCTGCGTTTGCCTCTTTGATCCATTTCTTTGTTCATACTCAAATACCGTGAACTGGCTTTTGAGTATGCACAAAGAAATGAACACATCAAGCTGCTTGTGCCTTTATATGTTCTGCCAGTTCTTTCTCTATATGGTCGTCAAAGACTGGACAGGCAAGTGCAGTTCCTTTATATCCTTTAATGGCCTTGTTTCTTTTCCATCTATCTTTTTCTTCTCCATAGATCGTTTTAATGTCATCCTGCATATGTGCATCTTCTTCGCCACCTGAATGGACTTCCCCTTCTCCACCTTGCTCACTATAGTTCACAGCTCTGTTTACGTCCTCTAACGGAGTGGAAGCTCTGCCTGTCCTCCACATTATAACTCTGTGGCATAACTACAGGCGTATAGACTCATAGTGTGGCTTACAAAAGGACTAACACATTTGTGAAATGTTTTCAAACTTGTTTAAAACAGACAAAATAATCAAAATACCTTGATCACAGAAATTTTACCTGGAAAGGCAAAAATCACTTGAACTTAAATGTGCTTAATTCTCATGCAACGAGGCGCTTCTTTGCAGGATGAGAAAAATGTCGGACTCTCCATAAATGTGCGGTCACATGATCAATTTCTTCCCTAGAAACAGGGTGTGGCACAACTCCCTCGATCTGTTCTGCTATTTTACACTCGATCATAAAGATTTTCACATGAAACAGAAGACAAGCACAGTTGTTACTAATCGCATTCCTTAAGTCTAAAAGCAGTGCAGGCTAAATCTAGATGTTATTGTCATGAGAGGACTGAGCCTGTTTTATCGTTTCCGGTAATATCATATATCAAACTCTGCATATTTTCCAGAAATTTCACTTTATTTTAGCACTTTTGTTCTACATCACGTGTCGTAACGCGTCAGCACGCCTACCTGCCAAGATGGCGATTCTAGCCACGCCTTTAAACATCACCTGGCCTCAACACTCCCTCCTTGCTGGCACACGTTCACATAGGGAGTGGACTCGTTGTGTCAACAGCTGCTCCGTGAGCTTGATGTAACGCAGAGGAAAATGTGGCGTCCCAGCTCCAGACAAGAAGCGATGAAATGTGTCCGCTGATTTTAATTTTGTTTTTTCTCTCAGGATTGAAAGTTTCAGAGCTTCACTGTAGGGCAGCATGTCCGTATCAACAGGCGCGGCCCTTCTGTGGATTTTACTTCTTACGTTCATCGTGTCCACCGTGTCAGGTAATCCGAACCTTAAATATGAACCAGGGGGAGAGATTTAGTGTGAAATATTGGTGGGTTGGTGGATCTGTCCGTTAAATATTGACACTGTCTTCACTCAGAAGCTGAAAACAGCTGAAGCAAGAAAATCCCTTTCAAGAAGCTCCCAGAGTGTGTCATTTGATATGGGCTGTGCCGGTTTTGCCCCTGTGTAAATTTGAATAACAAACATTTCAGTGTAAACTAGGTTATGGCCGACCCAGAGACCTGACTGAAGCACCATATGTGCTTAGTCACAGGAACACTTAAGACAAGCTTCATCCATCACAGCAGTCAGTTTTATTTGTGAATGGAATTTCACTGTGTTATTTCCAGATATGACACAGGTCACACATGTTTATCCCTTTGCTCACTATAACTCTCTGTTTGCTTCCAGGGCCCAGAAGTTGACTCTCACTGCTGAACCAGGAGCCACTATAAACATCAGAAATAATAATCAGGTCAAAGGTTTCCAAGTGTGTACAGGATCAGGGAACACACAACGTTGCAGTATTGAATCTCTGAACTCATTCGGTGGAAGTACTGTGTCAGTGGCGCTTGAATGCTCCAGACCTCAAGATGTATTCAGTATAGAAATTGTACGGCGTATAAGTAAGTGTCTGTGTGATATCTGATTATTTTATCAGTGAGACTGAATGTCCTGAGTGGACTAACGCAGTATGAGTGGATTCATTTTCTCTTTTCAGATTGCACCACGAAGTCATGCAGTGGCCACATCATCCAGACTGACTTCAGCTCGACTGATGTGCTGCGTTTTAACCGCACGTTTACCTGGAATCTAGCAGCCGCAGCGCCAAGCGCAAGATTCAAGATTCAAAGTGTTCGTTGTCATGGGTACAGAAGAAATAGCATATTTCTGTGCAATGAAATTCTTGCTTTGCTGTCAATACACAAATGCCAGTTAAGTAAGGGTTAAAGGAACAAAATAAATAAGGATAAAAATAAGATAAGATATTAAGATAAATACAAATGTAAAAAAAATAAGGATAAAAAATAATGAAAGATAAATGAATAAGTACAAAAATAAGTAAGTGAAGACAAGTGAGGTATGCAGATGTCGATGTAGATGGATGTACAAAGTAGCTTAATGTGCAAAATGAACTTAGTGTGCAAAGTGTCCTGATATGCAAATTGCAGTTGAGGTAGGTCAGCTGTTCAGGAGTCTGATAGCAGTGGCAAAGAAGGAGTTGTTGAGTCTGGATGTTCTGGATTTCACACTTCTAAACCTTCGTCTCGAGGGCATACGTGTGAACAATCCGTGTTGAGGGTGTGTGGGGTCTTTAAGGATGGAGGCAGCTCTCCTCTGGACTGTGATGGTAGATGCTCTGCAGAGAGGGCAGTGGAGTCCTGATGATCTCCGCAGTTGTTATCACTCTCTGCAGGCGTTTGCGGTCCATAGCAGTAGTACTGGTGTACCATGCAGTGATGCAGCTGGTTAATGTGCTCTCCACAGTGCAGCTATAAAAGCTACTGAGGATCTTGGCCAACATACCAAATTTCCTCAGCCTCCTCGGGAAATACAGCCCCTGCTGAGCGTTTTTGACCAGCTGTGTGGTGTTCCGTGTCCAGGTGAGGTCCTCATTGATGTGGACGCCCAGGTACCTAAACCTGCTCACCCTCTCCAATTCACTCTCCCGGATACACATCGGCTGGTGAGGCCTCTTCTTCTTCCTCATGTCCACTATCATCTCCTTTGTTTTATTACGCTTAAGGGTAAGGTTGTTGTCCTCACACCATGACACCAGACCGGCCACCTCTCTCCTGTAAGCCGCCGCGTCCCCACCAGTGATGCGACCAATCACTGCAGTGTCATCCGCCAACTTCAGTATGCTGTTGTCTTTGTTGGAGGCAACACAGTCGTGGGTGAACAGGGTGTAGAGGATGGGACTGAGGATGCAACCCTGTGGTACGCCAGTGTTTGTGATAATAATAACTGAGGTCCTGTTGCCGATCCTGACAGACAGAGGCCTGCCAGTCAAAAAGTCCTGTAGCCAGTCACAGAGGGTGGGGTGCAGGTCGAGTGTAGACAGTTTGTGGATGAGTTTGTGAGTGTGTTGAAGGTGGAGCTGTAGTCAACAAAGAGTACCCTGATGTAGGAGTCATTACTCTCCAGGTGGTAGAAGGAATAGTGAAGGGCAGCAGCAATGCCATCCGACACTAGCAGCACCCGAAGCAGGGCCGAAGTGTTTAAGTGTTCACCGGAGTTTGCACCCTTGGCAAGCGGACTGAGGTATGTGATGAGAGGTGATCTGTTGTTATATTTTATTTAACTGAACTGTGTAACCCCTGTTTGAAACCCCTTTTGTTTTATTTAATCTGTGACTGTATATCTCAGAATTACTTGTTTGAACTTACCTGAATTAACTTAAGCTCATTGTTGTTATTGCTCATTGTTATAGTTCAAAAGGACTGTACGGGTATAAATTTTTTCTTATTTTATAGTTTTCACGGTGCTCAACGTCCAGAGAATGAGTCGTGTGTGGTGAGGAAATAAATGGCTGCACCCGTTAGAGACTCTTCTGTCGTTCTTGATGCCAAGGGCTGCTACAGGGCCGATAGGCATACTGCAGGGGATCCAGAGTGTGTGCAATATTGCTCTTAATGTAGGCCATCACCACTCTCTCAAAATCACTTTGCAATGATTGGAGTGAGTGTAACAGGTCTGTAGTCGTTTAGGCAGGTGGCTGGGCTATTCTTGGGGACAAGGATGATAGTTGTGGTCTTGAAGCATGTGGGAACAATGCTCTGGCTGAGGGAAAGGTTGAAGATGGAGGTGAGAACATCAGCCAGCTCGTTAGCACATGCTCTAAGGGCTCGTCCAGGGATGTTGTCTGGTCCTGCTGCCTTGCGGAGGTTGATCTTCCTCAGGACCTTGTGTACTTGGTCTATTGAGACCGCTGGCAGGAGAGATGGTCAGGTGATCTGGGGGTTCTGGAAGGTCTTGGAGGTCTGGGAGATCTAGGAGGTCTGGTGGGTATGGGACGGGAAGGTCTGGGAGGTCTGGGGGTCTCAAAGCTGGTGTAAAACACGTTGAGATCATCTGGCAGTTGGCATATATCACAGCATTCAGGGCCTTTATAAGAACAGACAAAATTACTAAACTGAATCAATTTCAGCTTTCATTTTTTATTATGTATATTTTAGTAATAATTACATTTCATTATCTATATCTTTACCAGACATTTGCCACACAGGTGTAGATACTGTAAGTGCAGCTCTCTTCACCTACCTAACTCTTCCTTTGCACTGACAGTCACACACAAACACATTGTATTCAACTAGAAAATCACGAAAAACATAAACTTACAGCTTTCACAAAAATATCGTCAATGAATGTGGACAAAGCAGAAGCTATGGTTGACTCTGACATGTCGATTCTTACCAGTTTCTCTTTGCTTTCTCTCTCTTGTTGAACGAGGAGTTGGCTGAAGAAAACCCGCCAGTGAGGAGGTTAGGTTCAGACTCTGTTACCCTGGTAAATGACTCAGAGTTAAAGTTTAACTTAACTTTCTGGAACTGAAAACCCGAGTTTCCCTCATCTCGGGATTAACAAACTTGGACTTAGCTAAACCTGCTTCCTAGAATAACCCCAGTAATGAATCTACAATGAGCTTAAAACATGTTGTGGATGAGAGAAGCAGTGAAAACACAGCACTTCAAGCCGGAGAAACTCAGAACATAACAGGCTCTGTTTTAGTTTATAATCTGTCAGCTGTGGACTCTGTGAGAGTAAAGATTAACTATTAAAACATAATGTTTTATGAGCATACTTTAATGCGTATATAACAATAACAAAATAATTCATTATTAAGTTGCATTTTAGAATCTAGACAAGCTGGGATACATTAACAATACTGGGAAATAGTCTGAAAGTTTTACACCAAACTTACAAATAAAATGCCATTTGCCACTCAAAGGTTTCCATTTGTCTCTGTGCCACTTGGAAATGGGTTGAGCAGCATGTACCGTATGTACGGTTACTGAGATACTGTAACACATCCTGACTAACCTGTTTGTCCTGTGAAGAGAAACTAAAAGTCAGGGTTTTTTCCTCACAGTTGAGCAACCACGCAAGGCTGTTTATCGTTTGGGGGGGATTTCTTCATAATATAATTTTAGAAAGCTCAAAGATCGTTTATGTTTCCACATTGTAAATCTTTCCAGTTGGGAGTAACCATATTTATAGTTATCAATTTCTTATTCAGCAAATACCTCAATATATCCTTTGGGTTACTGTTTTGCACTCAACGATCTATTAAAAGATTAAAAAACTTCACAAGAAACAGAAGACAGTCACAGGTGTTAGGCGTCCTGCTCACATTAACTAAGGCTCTATAACAATGCGATCTTAAATCGTGACATCTTTATTGAAATGACGTGATTAAGGGTGAGTTGCCGTTTCAGGCAACAGTTCTCGTATATTAGCTTCTTTTTTAAAAATTCTCCATGATACTTTTCAGGATTTTATTTTTTACTGGGCTACAGGGCTGTCCTAACGCATCTGTGTCCTATACCTGCCAATATGGTCCTCCTGACCGCGCCTTTAATCTTTACCTTGCGTAAACACTCCCTCCTTGCTGGCACACTTTCACAATTAGGAGTCAACAACAACTAGCTGAGCTTCAGTTAACACCCCAGGATTGAAGGTTTCAGAGCGTCACTGTAGGGCAGCATGTCCGTATCAACAGGCGCGGCCCTTCTGTGGATTTTACTTCTTACATTCACTGTCTCCACCGTGTCAGGTAACCTGAAACTTAAATATGAACCAGTGGGAGAGATTTGGTGTGGTGGTGGATCTGTCCGTTAAATACTGACACTAATGTCACTCAGAAGCTGAAAACAGCTGAAGCAAGAAAATCCCTTTCAAGAAGCTCTCAGAGCGTGAGTGTCAGGTGATACTGAGTACGGCTGTTTTCGGTAAATCGCCACGCCATATAACGAGTCCACAGCGGAAGTGGTCAACGGGAGATCAGTGGGTATGAATCACCACTGACTGATTAGTTTTCGAGAAAATAGCGCAGCATTTCCCGGAAGATCTCTGAGACCTCTGAGTGTGGACATGAGACTTTTGTTTTTAATGGCTTCCAAAGTCTTTGTGTTTCCCTGATGAACAGCAGAAATATACAGATTCTAAAACGCAACTTAATAATGAAAAATTTTATTGTTATTGTTTTATACGCATTAAAGTATGATCCTAAATCATTGTGTTTTTATAGTTAATCTTTACTCTCACAGAGTCCGCAGCTGACAGATTAAAAACTAAAACACAGCCGGTTATGCCCCGAGTTTCTCTGGCTGGAAGCGACGTGTTTTCACTGCTTCTCTCATCTACAACATGTGTTAAGGTCGCGATTGTTTTATATATATATATGTATACAATACTGGTTTATGTTTCACAACCTTTTCACAGTAAAGAAAGGGGCTGGTGGACCTTGGATGACCTCCAGAAACTTTTATTAATATATTTAAGATGATAGCAGCACTAATGAAACTTTTTGTTGTAATTATTAGAACAGAGGACACAGAGAATACCTGTTCAATCAATCAATTTAATTTCACCTTGATCTGCTGAGAAACTGAAGCAATTTTCACATCTCCTTTATTAGGCTGTGGGGAACGAGATGTGAATGCTTAAATGTATCCAGTTTAAAGTTTCGGAGCTCCAATGTGCAGCCATCACCTTAGGTATAAACAGCAGCACTAAGAGAGCACTCCTTGATAAGAGAGTTTTATTAACCAGAATAACGAATAGCTGCCAATTATTCTCATGAAGCTGATTGAACAGGCATTCTTGGTTCATGTTAAAGAGCAGTATAAAAGAGATTACAATCAAGTCTAACAACATTTTATACACATTCTAATTAACCAAAATAATACATGGCATAATACATACAGGCATTCCTATGACAATGCAATGCACAGTTTGCACTTCTTTTAGTAGTAAGGTAGACTTAAGCTGTTCCACATGTCCTGTGGATCCCTATTCAAATTGAATTCCTGGTATTGAATTCGGTTTATCAGTTGGAAAATCTTGCACCAAAAGTCTGTTTAAACAAATATACAGAACAACCTGCTTTTTCAAAATGACATCAATTCAAAATCATGGATGTGGAATCTGTCTTCAGTGTTTATTGTGTCTTTAATAAAGGTTGTTAAAGCACTGCAGATTTCTCATATATAATACATACATAATTCGTAGTAATTATCACTGGTTCAAATTCACAGCTTAAATACAAGGTTGTTGTTATTCTTTTTTAACTCACTTTTTCTTTTACTGAAACCCCGTTGATAACTACAGGGACAACCTACTCCATACCTTGTGACAATCAGCCCCGTAATAGATTTATTTTATTCTCTCAGGTGCAGACTCGGTGCATACACAGAAATTTGGTAAGAGGTCAGCAAATAAAGTGTAGGTGTCCTGTTTTATGATCATATAATGATGACTATAGAACAATAACAATTTGCTGCAATAACAAATTACTGATCCTCATTAGGGAAATACAAATACTTTAGATGCCATCCATTCTTCCCACGTAGATCCAAATGATCTTCCAGGAATGGTGAAGCTATTTACCGAAGTACTGCAGCGATTTTCTACCTCTTGATCTCTAATCTGGAATCTAACTTGTTCCACAATACAGAGCTGCTTGGTTATAGGAGAAATCATCTGTCACTGCAGTTAGTCATATTTGTGAATTTTATCTCATCTAAATGGTAATTTCACTCTGTTATTTCCAGATATAATACTGGACCCAACATGTTTATCCCTTTGCTCACTATAACTCTCTGTTTGCTTCCAGGGGCCCAGAAGTTGACTCTCACTGCTGAACCAGGAGCCACCATAAACATCAGAAATAATAATAAAGTCAAAGGTTGCCAAGTGTGTACAAGATCGATTATTAAAAATGCAGTATTCAATCTCTGAACTCATTCAGTGGAAGTACTGTGTCAGTGGCGCTTGAATGCTCCAGACCTCAAGATGTATTCAGTATAGAAATTGTACGGCGTATAAGTAAGTGTCTGTGTGATATCTGATTATTTTATCAGTGAGACTGAAAGTCCTGAGTGGACTAACACAGCATGGGTGGATTCATTGTCTCTTTTCAGCTTGCACCACGGAGTCATGCAGTGGCCACATCATCCAGGCTGACTTCAGCTCGACTGATGTGCTGCGTTTTAACCGCACGTTTACCTGGAATCTAGCGGCCGCAGCGCCAAAAGCTTTCCAAATAGATTTCACTAACACGGGTCTTAAACTGATTCATCCATCTGAGAAATGTCCAGACAGACACACCTACACCCTCCAGGCCTTCCAGTCTACGGGCAGTGCGGCTGTGGAGCAGTACTGCAGAAGTGGCACCATCAGCAGTGCTCAGATTTTGAAAAGCGGCAGCTTTTCTGTGGACGTCCCAGCAGAGCAGAAGCTGCAAAATGACAAGTTTGATGTGACTGTGCGGGAAAAAATCAAGTGTGAGTTTAGTTACAGTCACTTTTTTGTGTTTCTTTTAAAATGTAACAATTTTTGTTTTCATTTTAATTAAATTTTTTTTGTGTGTGTGTGTGTGTGTGTGTGTGTGTGTGTGTGTGTGTGTTTTATACCTTGTGACAATCAGCCCCATAATAGATTTTTTATTCTATCAGGTGCAGACTCTGTGTATACATAGAAATTTGGTGAGAGGTCAGCTAATACAGTGTAGGTGTCCTGTTTTATGATCATATAATCAATTTTGAAAAAATGTTTGCTGGCATAAAAAAATCTAAAGAGTAAAGCTGCATGTAATAATTTGTATTCATTACTGATGCTCATCAGGGAAACACAAAGACTTTAGATTTTAGATTCCAACGAATCTTCATTGAATGGTGAAGCTATTCACTGGAGTACTGATTAGCTAGTACGCAGTGATTTTATACCTCTTGATCGCTAATCTGGATTCTAACTTGTTCCACAATACAGAGCTGCTTAGTTATAGGAGGAGACAAGCCGTAGGCTTCATCTGTCACTGCAGTTAGTTGTATTTGTGAATTTAATCTCATCTAAATGGTAATTTCACTCTGTTATTTCCAGATATAATACAGGACCCAACATGTTTATCCCTTTGCTCACTATAACGCTCTGTTTGCTTCCAGGGGCCCAGAAGTTGACTCTCATGCTGAACCAGGAGCCACCATAAACATCAGAAATAATAATAAAGTCAAAGGTTGCCAAGTGTGTACAGGATCAATTATTAAAAAATGCAGTATTCAATCTCTGAACTCATTCAGTGGAAGTACTGTGTCAGTGGAGCTTGAATGCTCCACACCTCAAGATGTATTCAGTATAGAAATTGTACGGCGTATAAGTAAGTGTCTGTGTGATATCTGATTATTTTATCAGTGAGACTGAAAGTCCTGAGTGGACTAACACAGCATGGGTGGATTCATTGTCTCTTTTCAGCTTGCACCACGGAGTCATGCAGTGGCCACATCATCCAGACTGACTTCAGCTCGACTGATGTGCTGCGTTTTAACCGCACGTTTACCTGGAATCTAGCAGCCGCAGCGCCAAAAGCTTTCCAAATAGATTTCACTAACACGGGTCTTAAACAGATCAATCCATCTGAGAAATGTCCAGACAGACACACCTACACCCTCCAGGCCTTCCAGTCTACAGGCAATGTGGCTGTGGGGAAGTACTGCAGAAGTGGCACCATCAGCAGTGCTCAGGTTTTGAAAAGCGGCAGCTTTTCTGTGGACGTCCCAGCAGAGCAGAAGCTGCAAAATGACAAGTTTGATGTGACTGTGCGGGAAAAAATCAAGTGTGAGTTTACATTCATTGTTTTGTGTTTCTTTCAAAATTACAGTGTCATTTAACAATTTTTGTTTTAATTTCAATTTATTTGGTGTGTTGTGTGTGTGTGTTGTAGCTCTTGCCCGAATTTCTCTGACTTTACCAAAAGGGACCTCTTCCTCAGAGCTGCTCTCGCCAGACTACCCAGAGAGCTTTCCTGATGACGACACCATGGAGTGGTACTTTCAGGTCCCAGACAAACACGGGGTTGATGTTCAGTTTCTAAACCTCACACAGCCAGATTGTGTGAAGAAGGAAGTAGCAGTGGAGTACCACCAGAAAGGCAGGGTGACATCGGTTCTGGGGCTAAATGACACACAGCCGCTCCAGAACCAGGGAGACTTTTTGCTCACGCTGAGGAACTGCGAGATGGAGAGAGCACCTGCTGATTCTCCTGGACTCACCTTCACCCTCAAGGTGTCTGCTTACCCACCCCGTTCAAAAGGTCTGAAAAAATAAAACGGCACTGACTTCAATGACAAAAAATATATATATATTGTGTCAATCCGAGATTAAGCACTCACCCATTCATAGTTTGTACTTTCATTAACAATAAATACATGAGATGTTATTCCGAGTTACTCCCGGGGAAAATATTTGCTTTTGGAAATCTAAAACTGCTTTAATCGATTTTGCATAAAGCTCTGTCATTGCATATGTAGAAGATGTTTGAAGTGATGACCACAGAGAGCGAAAACAAGGCCCCAAATGTTACGTTTTCTTCACTTATGCAGTTCAGGGTACACCCTGGGGAGGTCACAACACTGTGTTTGAGCATGACTCCCAGAGCAAACAGGTTAGGAAGGTATTTCAAACTTGCCCAACAGCTGGAGGCTCGATAGTCTGGGTAAAACCTCGTCATCACTAGGTCCAGATTTTTCCAAGACTTTGGTTTATGACAAAAAGAACTGCAGCACTGTGACCAGATCACATCAGTTTGATAACTTTAGCATTTGGTGTAAGGCACCACAGGAATATGAGGCTGTAGTGTAGCTTCACACTCGGGAGGATAAACGATATTGAACGATTTTCAGCTTCAGCAATTCTGTTTATTGTTGAATTCTTTTTACAACCACTGCACAGTCGAAAATGTGATCCAAATGTTAACCAAGTTAATTGTTTCTCCTCTATAGCACCTTTAACCATCATCCTGGGTGTAGTGGCTACTCTGCTGGTCATTTCTGTCATAGTGCTAGTTGTAATGATTAGGTGGTATTTCTATTATTTAGTGTGTTTTCAAAGGGGATGACCATCCAATAGTGAATAAAACAGGAAATAATCCCAATCTTCTCTTTTTCCCGCCAAACAGGAGAAGAAGAAGGAGAAGAAGAAGAAGAAGAAAGGCAATTATGAAGTTGCTGTCTATAATCCTAATGGCATCAACTTCTTACCAGGATACGAATCCCAGACGTGCTGGGGGACTTGTAAAGATGATGAGTCCCATGTGTACGAAGAGATTGATGCACTCTCGTCTACACACACCTGCTGAAAAGGGGTGCAGAGACTGGCAACTATGAAGAAACATATAAACCTGTTTCAGGACACAGAGACTCTCAAAAGCCACTGCTCTCATCACAGCAGGGCCCTCCACGCCCCAACAAGCCACCAAGCAAAATCCTAACCCCGGTGGACAATACAATTTACCAGAATATGATTTTACCAGCCTAAGGATCAAAGTGAGGACGAACAGCTCCCGAATCTGGGGCCTCGCTGGAGCTAGAGGGCGGCAACTGAGCAGAAGACTGGACTCAGCTTTTTGATTTTTCTCTTGACTCACTTGAACTTTGGGATATTCATTCCCTGTGTGATTGCCTCACAAAGCACCTTTTCTGAGTGCAGCTTTTGCACTAAAGTGAGGCACACACAAACAACCTGTCTGCAGCTGTTACAACGTTTTGTCCCAGATTAAAGGCTCTTCGATTGCAAAAGTTGCTCTCAATCATCCCCTGTAGCTGCATCTGACATAAACATATTTATTTCATAGTAAGGTCAAATATATTGCTTTTTTAATGTGTCACGATGGGATGAGTCCTTTGTCCTCATCGGAGACTAGTGGCATAATTCCCTGCAATTAAACTGCATTTCAGTGTATTTTATTTTTAATTTCAGTGTAGTTATTTGACTGCATACTTAAAGCAGGTACACTGGAATAATGGGGTGAGAAGTCAGGTTTTTACAGAAACAGAAATTATTTTATTTAATTTTTAGTAGTGCACAAGTAATTTTATAAGTTCATGACTTATTTTTAGTATTACAGAATATCAGGTATTTTAAAGGAAAGGGGAGAAATTAAGTACATTTAAGTAGTGCATAAAATCCAAAAGTCTTTTTTTTCCTTTTTTGCCTGTCCCGTTTGGCTCTTTTGCCTCAGAATTATTGTCTAAAGGCAAAGAAAGATGCCAACAGATTTACTTTACCAAATTGACCATCCCAGCCTTGCCATAATGGTCCATTTGATTCACCCTTTATGTTTATTTTATTTTCACTTGCTGAATACGGACAGATTGACTGGGGGGAAAGAAGGGGAGAAAGAAGAGTGAAGAGAAACAGCTGAGAAGAGGACGGGGGAGAAGGGCAAAAAACAAAAACCAACAGAACGGGCAGGAAAAAAAAAGAAAAAAATGCATATATCAATCACCTGGATCACCTGCTGAGAAAGAAAAAAGAAAACAAGCAGAAGAGAACAAGAGTAATAGAATAAACAACATCACAATGATATATGGGAATATGACAGTAAATACTAAATGTTAAACATTATTGTGCAGCACATAAGATCAACAGAACACAGTGTGCTTTGAGGTAGGAGCCAAAAAGGGTGTAGTTTGTGGGTGTGATCACCCGTGTGTACACCTGTGAGCATGGACGCGCTTGGGCTCACTCAGCAGTCGCGGAGCAGAAGCCAGGGGGGTTGCAGTGACGCGCCCGTGAGCTCCGCCGGCAGCCAGCTGCGCCTGAGTGACCGAGCCCCAGGCCGAGAGGCCGGGGCACCCCACCTCCGAAATGGCCGGAGCGAGCCCCAGGCTCCAGGCCCCGATAAGCGGCTGCCAAGGAGTGAGCCGGTGTGTACCTGGACGCCCATCCCCAGACACAAAGAACCACCAACGCACCGATGTCTGAGGGAGTCCGCCACTGGCAGGGGAAGTGGTGGTGGGGGAGATAGGCCTCCAAACCTTGGAGGGCCTGAGATGTCCCCAGAGAGGTGGCGCCTGACACCCAACCTGACATATAGACACAGACATACGGGTACACACAGACACAAACATCCATTCCCACCCTCATGCTCTCATATGCACTTACTCCACACTCAACCAACGTGGAGACAGACATAAAGAGACGTTGTACACACGATCACACTCCCCAAGCGTACTCTACAAACCGGGTCTAGGTACCCTTGCCCCGGGGGGAACTGCACCCAGACCCAGGTGGTGTTACCCTTTTCCCTGCGGTGGGGGGAGGCAGACCGCCCCGACTCCGCAGCAGCAGGGAGGCCCCACACCCCAGACCGCAGTCGGACGGCCAACTCCTCCTCCTAGCCCCCCGCTCCAGCAGGTCGCAGAGAATGGGGTGAGAGAAGACTCCAAACCTCCCTCCACCCGCTCCTTGTAGTGTTGATGCATGTGTGTTTAAGGTGCAATTAAAACCCAGGAGGGCATGGAGCTACCTGCCAGAGAGCAGCAGGTAAGCGCATAGTCCCTCCTGCTAGCCCTCAATGTCTACGTGTATTTAAAATTGAGAGGTGGGCAACGATGCCAGGGGTGGGTGTACACCCTGATGGTAATTTGGACTCCGTGTATCGTGCCCACCCCCAAGATCCTATATGTATGTGTAATGAGAGTGTGAGTAATGTGAATGTCTAAGTTGTGGGATAAAATTGAGGCAGAGGCAGCCAGAAGGGACAGAGGGGGGGGGGGGGGGGGGGGGGTAGCCTCCTCTGCACCCTGGTGACATACCCTACTCCAAGGCCCTGCATGTGTGGGTGGTTTGGTGGAGCGGGAAGAGGGAGGCAGCTGGAGATGGGGAGGGAAGGAAGGGAGGGGCAAGTGACCCCTCCCTGGGCCAGCTCCCCCGCTGACCCCAGTAGGCACCCCCATACTCCGCGACCCGCCAGGGAAAGGGGGCCCAGGCCCATCCAGACCGGGGCCCCAGTGCGGCAGCGCCTCCCGGCCCCACAGAGCCCGGACAGTCCACCAACCCCCACAGAGAAAACTGCACCCACCCACCATCCACTCATCTTCCAGACTACATAAGACAATAGACCCCAGGCTGAGATCTTCCTCCACCTCTCCTGTATCTCCCCCTCCTGCAGAGAGAGCCCTGAAGACCGGAAAGCTCCTGCAAGATGAGTCATTTTAAGTATTCAATTTCATTGTAATTTTGCTGAATAAACAATATTTCTCCATCTTACCTCATAAATGGACTGGATTTTGGGTGTATGGACCATATTATGGAGTCACTTGACCTTGTCTTACATGAATATTTATTGTTTTAGTGTGAATGATGGAGAGTCCACTGTGAAACTATTCTTTCATATTTATTTATATAAACATTATGTAGTAATTTAAACTGTTCTTCCTTTCTACTTTTCAATATATTTATTCAAGCTTTCAATATATTTTCACAGCGTTGTCTCCTCTGAATAGGATAGAACACCAAAGCTTTCTCCTTCCAGAGCAACGTCCAGCAGACAACAAGTGCAGATAAAAGTTTTCAGTGGTCTTAAACAAACTTGTTTCTCTTTCCTGTGCCAATTTCAATACGATCCGCCCTCTTTTTTCTTTTCTTTTCTTTTTTTTTTTTTTTTTTGGTTAAGTAAATATTACAGCTTCAAGCTTCCCATCCAAGAAGCTACTCTAAGCGAGCGTGAGTAACGGGCAGAACAATTACATTCTTTTCCACTAGAGGGCAGTACAACTCCTTGCTCCAATTAAATGGGTTGCCAGAAGAAGACAAAGAAGAAATTACTACAAATGAGACCACGCAGCACGTGATCTGCTGGCCAGTTTATCGTGAGGACAAAAATGAATTTTTCTTTAACTTAGTTTGTCACAGAAGGACGTTTGTAATCCAGAGGGGAAAATTATTATGATTAATGTTCCCAATTACTTCATCTTAATAAATAAATACAACACAACCTGCGTTTGCCTCTTTGATCCATTTCTTTGTTCATACTCAAATACCGTGAACTGGCTTTGAGTATGCACAAAGAAATGAACACATCAAGCTGCTTGTGCCTTTATATGTTCTGCAGTTCTTTCTCTATATGGTCGTCAAAGACTGGACAGGCAAGTGCAGTTCCTTTATATCCTTTAATGGCCTTGTTTCTTTCCATCTATCTTTTTCTTCTCCATAGATCGTTTTAATGTCATCCTGCATATGTGCATCTTCTTCGCCACCTGAATGGACTTCCCCTTCTCCACCTTGCTCACTATAGTTCACAGCTCTGTTTACGTCCTCTAACGGAGTGGAAGCTCTGCCTGTCCTCCACATTATAACTCTGTGGCATAACTACAGGCGTATAGACTCATAGTGTGGCTTACAAAAGGACTAACAACATTTGTGAAATGTTTCAAACTTGTTTAAAACAGACAAAATAATCAAAATACCTTGATCACAGAATTTTACCTGGAAAGGCAAAAATCACTTGAACTTAAATGTGCTTAATTCTCATGCAACGAGGCGCTCTTTGCAGGATGAGAAAAATGTCGGACTCTCCATAAATTGCGGTCACATGATCAATTTCTTCCTAGATACAGGGTGTGGCACAACTCCCTCGATCTGTTCTGCTATTTTACACTCGATCATAAAGATTTTCACATGAAACAGAAGACAAGCACAGTTGTTACTAATCGCATTCCTTAAGTCTAAAAGCAGTGCAGGCTAAATCTAGATTTATTGTCATGAGAGGACTGAGCCTGTTTATCGTTTCCGGTAATATCATATATCAAACTCTGCATATTTCCAGAAATTTCACTTTATTAGCACTTTTGTTCTACATCACGTGTCGTAACGCGTCAGCACGCCTACCTGCCAAGATGGCGATTCTAGCCACGCCTTTAAACATCACCTGGCCTCAACACTCCCTCCTGCTGGCACACGTTCACATAGGGAGTGGACTCGTTGTGTCAACAGCTGCTCCGTGAGCTTGATGTAACGCAGAGGAAAATGTGGCGTCCCAGCTCCAGACAAGAAGCGATGAAATGTGTCCGCTGATTTTAATTTTGTTTTTTCTCTCAGGATTGAAAGTTTCAGAGCTTCACTGTAGGGCAGCATGTCCGTATCAACAGGCGCGGCCCTTCTGTGGATTTTACTTCTTACGTTCATCGTGTCCACCGTGTCAGGTAATCCGAACCTTAAATATGAAACCAGGGGGAGAGATTTAGTGTGAAATATTGGTGGGTTGGTGGATCTGTCCGTTAAATATTGACACTGTCTTCACTCAGAAGCTGAAAACAGCTGAAGCAAGAAAATCCCTTTCAAGAAGCTCCCAGA